GTTCATCATAAAAAAAATGATCAATGACTCTCGGGATGGAAGGCCCGTAACTTGTTTTTGGCTGGTCGAGTGACTCTTGCTATGTATGTGCTTAACGCCCTTCCTAAATCCGTAATGCATACTGTAGTGATTCATGTTAACATTTGTGATATCATCGACAAAAAATTTAAGCTTTTGGTCGGGGTGCTGAAGATGGGAAACCTAAAATTCATCTAGTTGCATGAGAGCTCAATTTTGCCTACATGATTAAACTAGCATGAAATTTTCTTGATAATGAGAATGATTTATTGATGAAGGCCTTGTAGGGGACGTATACTAAATCAGATGAACATGGAGGATTTCAAATGAGAGTCCAATGAGTCTCGTGACTTTAGAATGGAATTCTCCAAGCTTGGCCAACGATGAAGGAGGGTGTCCTTTGGGATATTTGAGGTGGAAGAAACGTAAGCTTCTGGACTCAACCATGGTTGTTGGGAGGATTGATCCTAGCAGACCACCTTACTAGCCAGCCTAATGTTGTCGACCTCCAAGCCTCTATTGCCGAACTTACTACGGATGAGGGTAAGTGGGACTGGAATGCCATTACATCTCATCTACTAGATTCTCTAGTGTTGGCCATTTTAGGTATGGATCCACCTGATCCTGAGCTTGGGAGGATCAGACCATTTGGGGTCTCGAAGCAGATGGTAGATTCTATCTCAAGACAACCTACCTGGCATCTGTCGTCTGGATGAAACATGAAGGGGATGACGATCAAGATGGTGTAGAATCACGAGATTGGAAGGGCATTTGTAAGTGTTTGAATCCTGGTCATATCAAACATTTCCTATGGATACTCCCACACGATCGGCTGTTGACGAACTGCGGAAGGAAGATGCATGACTTGGCACGAACTGCAAAAGATCATTGCTAATTCTCTAGAAGACAACATGAACATATACAAATAGTCAACGGCAAAGACCACTCAACTCGTCAACTGGAACCCTCGACCTGAGGCTGGATCTCTGTTCAGACAGATGGTCTGTCCTCTTACCCAACTCAATGGCAACTACGAGAGGAGTTATCCGTTATGAACTTGGACGATGTAATGGAGCTTTTGCTACTAACCTTGGTGCCTGCACTATCATAAGACTAGAAAGTATTAGCATGATCAAAGGTTTAGAGCTTTCTTGGCAGACGGGATTTCGAAAAGTGTTACTGCAGACTGGTTCCATCATGACTTTGAATCTGCTCACAAATGACCAAAGCCAGGACCATCGCTACTTCAACTTGGCTCGGATGTTCCATAGCATCCTAGAATGAGATTGGGAGGTAAAACTTAGACACATATACATGGAATGTAACAAAGTTGCAGATTATCTAGCTAGCCATTAAGGGTCACTCTTTAACTTTAGGGACCAATTATATTAGCCTTGTGGATCCAGGTCTTCGATACTCGATATGTATGACGCTATGAGCATTGCCTAAATCCATTCAACTTAAGTGTAAAGCAAGGGTGTCCTTTGAGCACCCAATTTTCCACCAAAGGGCTCTTTTTTTATTTTTTACAGTTTCAATATTATAGATTTTAAGTGCATACAAATTGTTGTAATTTTGTCATATTCTAGATTTGAGTTATGAAAATTAACGAACTTCTGCAACTCTAACAAAGATATAAGTCTTTCAAATTAAATTATAATACTTCTAGATTTGAATTATGAAAATTACCTAACATAATACTACTCATATTAGTCATACTCTGATAGTCCAACCTCTTAGCTACCCTTTCGGATTAAACTTGTGTTCAAGCCTTTTCTAGAATATAACCAGTGAAAAACAGAAGTTATCTAACTGATGGAAACATGGATGAAGAGATGGTTTTTTAAGAAGTCATTGTCATTAAAATGTGAGGATTTGGTAGCTCGCACGCCCCACAGATTACACAAATGAGGCAAAGGGATATATTGCTGCTAGCTTGTAGAGGTGTTACATAATTCTTTTTGTCATGTAATTTATGAACTATGTTAACATCTAAAGTCTTTATTTTTTATTGATTATTACAATATTTTTATTTTAAAAATAAATAAAAATATTCCAGTAATTTATTCTATGAAAGTCAGGAATGAAGAGCTCACCTCCTCCTGATTATAATCTTTGAAAATAATTCATCGGGCTATTTTCTAGAATTGAGCTCCGCTATCATGCTCACAAATATATGATTGCGTTCATTTAAAAAAATACTTTTAATAGTACAAACGAAATTTGTATCATTTTAAAATATTTAATTTATATCTATATTTTTTTTGCATTTAATATTATAATACAAATTTAATTTATACTTATATATTTTTCTAACAAATGTTTTTTTATAATACAACTTTTAACTTCAATGTTATAATATAAATTGAACTATACTTGGAAACACCCGTGCTAAAGCTTGTGACTATTGTAACTTCCATAAACCCTGCTTTACAAAATCGGATGTACTTGATTTTCTGGTTAAACATAGGGGAGTTGGTATTCTTGAGAAATTCAGAGTGGGACACCAACCTTTATAAACCCACTTACACGCAGATCTTGCTCTTCTAATAGACATAGAATAATAGTATTGGGTTTGGTTGGAAATTTGTGTGCTTTAATTTGGATAGCTACGACGGTTGCAGCAACTGATCTGATCAGTCATCACAACAAGAGCAACTAATTTTATTTTATTTTTTATATTTTATGTTGTCTTTTATTCATCAAATCTGTCGGAGAGGCTGTGGCAGAAACCGACAATTATGTAATTCGTGTCCAAATATTATGCATAATAATAAGGAAGGGTCTTCTAATTCTTCATTGGATTTGGTGGTGGCCTTGTTTCTAACACTTGCGAGCCAGCGACTGAGTGAGCAGTGAAGGGAACAAAGCCAATTTAATGATCACTTCACTTTGAACCTGAGCTGAAAGCGGTTTCGGTTACGGGGTGCTCCGTTACATCAGTCGACAAAACTCTCGCGTATAATTGCCGACATCAACCCAAATACCTCCCTAAGATTTTTGGGTAAAACAACTTCCAAACTGACCGAATGTGTAGGATATAGAAATTAGGGTTGACATATTAGATCACATCGTTTGAAAAATTTATGGAGCAAATCATGCCGTTTGATCTGGGTTGTACATCGTTAAGAATGATTTTGTTTTGGTCATTGATCTGTATTATTGGATATTTTGATCTCTTGATTTTATCCAGTCCAAACTGTGGTTTATCGAACTAGATCATGAATCTAATTCACTTTCAATTTCGATTAGCCATCCATATATATGGTTTGATATCTGATGTGAACTGTATAAATATTTGATATGATCTATAATCTCTACTTATGTTCCTTGCTCTGAATCGCAAGTCTTGTGTAATTATGTATGGCTGGATTTGGATATGGATCATACCACATCATTTTCCAACCTAATAGAAACAAGTCTGGACTACATTATTTTTAATGGGTAAATCACATAGGCCATTTCAGCCCAAAGAAAAAAGGGCCCATCTCTGGTTAGCTACCGGAAAGAAAATGTATACGGCCCCATTCCCAGTGAATTCATAGTTAAAAAAAGACCCACAAATTTGCTCCAAAGAAAGAAGGGGAACTCGGTAAGGCTAGTCGGGTTGGGTAATGTGTTGGTCCATACCGGATCACATCGAACTAAACCGATATTTGAATCAAACCATATCGAATTGAAAATAATTTGATAGGTCTTTGATCCGATGAATTTTATAAATACTGAAATAAAATGAACCGAATTGATATTTGGGTAGGACCAAAGGAGAATCAATCGTTTGGGCTCATAATAAATTAAAAGTTGCTCTGCTACTCAGCTTAGAGCTTTGAGCATTATACAAGGACGTGCTGTAGGGGTAACCCTGTTAAACAGTGTAGTTTTCGTCTTTCATTGTACATAGCCCAAGATCCACACGAGCCCACTCTCTCTCATTTATTTCGGCCCATGCAACCCATGCATCGTCCCCATATTCCTGATGCTAGGGTTCAGCCGACTCTTCTCCTTTGTGAGATATGTATATATGTTGAACTTGGTTTCTTTCTTCCTTTTTAAGCCGATACATCTAATAATACCAGTAGCCAGGAGAGGGTTCCAAAGCTCTCCCGCGGATTAGTCTTGATCATCAGGGATACCACGTAAACCGTCTGTGTTCATTGTTTCAGTTCAGTTTAATTCCTGTTTAATTCCCGATCAGTTTGTTAACATGGTATCAGAGCTTAACACCATGGATTCGGAGAGACCTACTGTTCGACTGACTTCTACAAATTATTCCCTTGGGGAATTTCAGTTCAGAGTTTTCGTGGAGGGCAAAGGCTTGCTTGGAATTCTTGATGGCACCGTGCCGAAACCGACCGCGCCTTCACCTGCCCAAGAGATCGCCGCCTGGACCCAAAGTGATGCGAGGATTCGTTCTTGGCTCCTGCATTCGGTTGATCCTTCAACCTGCTTGAGTCTCCGATTGTTCCCAACTGCCAATCACATGTGGAGGCACCTCACATCCACTTACTCGACGGTCGACGCAGCGCGCCAGTTCGAAATTCAGACAGCTCTTGCTCGGCTGGAGCAAGGGGATCATACAGTCACAGAATACTTCAATCTCGCCCAAGAGCTGTGGACATAACACGATCTCCTCATGGTAGCCCTCCGTCCGCAAGCTGTTTCGTCCGAGGATGCCCTCGTCGAGCGCCAACAAACAAGGCTCTTACAGTTTCTGATGCGTCTCCGGCCAGATTTTGAACCGGTACGCTCTGCTCTCTTGAACAAGGATAACCTCAAATTTTAAGGCGTTCTCACCCAGCTCTTCCACGAAGAATGTCGACTTCGCACCCAGGCTCGCTTTGATGTTCGTCCTGGCGAAGGCGAAGTTGTCCTTGCAGCCGGTTCAGCCTCTGATTCGTCCGTCTATGCTGTGGGGCGGCCTCAATTTCAAAGAAGCATACCTGTCTCTGAACTTGAATGCCATTTTTGCCGAGAGAAAGGCCATGTCAGGAAGCACTGCCGCCGCCAGAATTTTTGTGTTTATTGCAAGCGGGGAGGCCATATCGTGCTCGATTGTCGTCAGCGACAACACAATTAAGCCAGGACAGCCAGTGGAGCTGGTGGTGGGCTTAATCAGGATCGCCCATGGGAACAACCAGCAGCTGCTGCTGGCGGCAATGGACATGGTGATCGGAGGTGGGATCGCCTGGTATCTGCTCGTACTTGGACGCATCCTCAGCACCCTGGCGAGACGAGCGATGGCGGAGCTCGTGGTCGGCCAGCATATGCCGTGGAACCTGCTGCTGCTAGTGGGACTTCTTTCTCGGCTGCCGACGTTGAACAAATGGTAAATGCAGCTCTTCAACGTTCTCTGCCTACTGCCATTAGTGCTGCATTTGCCACTCTCCAGGGAACAGGTAAAAAGAATATATGGATCCTCGATTCAGCATGTTTTAATGATATGACGTCAGATTTACATAATTTACGTAATGTGGTTCCGGTTAAGAACATGGCTTTGCGTGTTGCAAATGGCGAGCATTTAGGAGTTCAAGGGATTGGTACAGTTGCTGAGTCACAGTTACAATTGTCTGATACATTACATGTTCCAAAGTTAGTTCCCAATTTAGTCTCTGTTGGGCAATTAACTGAGCAAGATTGTTCTGTTTTGTTTACACCGTCTGGGTGTTCTATACGAGATTTGAAGACGGGGAGGCAGCTCGGAAAAGGGAATAAACACGGGAGGATCTTTCATCTTGAGGAGCTTTGTGAGCCTTCAGAGTCGTCGTTCGTCAGTAGTCATGGGTATAGGTCTGTCAGTAGTCAGTCTTCTTTCTCTTCCTCTTGTTTTTCGAGTCAGTCGGACAATGTTTGGGACCTTTGGCATGCTCGGTTAGGACACCCTCATTCAGATCGCCTTGTAAAGATGTTTAGACAATCATTACTTGGCAAGAATAATGTTGATTTTGCTGCTCATCATTCGTGTACTAGTTGTGTTGAGGCCAAAACAGCTAGCATATCGTTTCCTTCTAGTATTACTGCTATTACAGAACCCTTTCATGTTATTCACACCGATCTTTGGGGTCCTGCACCTACTTTATCTCGTCATGGGTTTCGATATTTTGCTCTCTTTGTTGATCATGCCACTCGTTTTACCTGGATCTATTTTCTTCGATTGAAATCTGAGCTTCGTACTGTGGCTACTGAGTTTATTCAAATGATCAAGACTCAATTTGGTAAAACAGTTAAAATAATTCGTTCTGATCCCGGTGGCGAATTCAGTTCCACTCCCCTCCATGATTTGTATCGTTCCTTTGGTATTTTGAGTCAGATGTCTTGTCCTGGTGTGTCCCAACAAAATGGTCTTGTCGAGCGTAAAAATTGTCATGTCGTCGAGCTTACTCGCGCTCTTCTTCTTGCTTCTCGAGTTCCTAGTCGTTTTTGGCCTGAAGTTGTTGCTACTGCAGTTCGTCTCATAAACTATCAAATTACTCCTGTCCTGAATAACACTAGTCCCTTCTTTGCTCTCTATCATCGTCATCCTGATTATTCTAGACTACGAGTGTTTGGTTGTTTATGATTTGTCCTTCGTCCTAAACGTGAACGTAGTAAACTGTCATCTAAAACTGCTCGTTGTGTGTTTTTAGGCTATAGTGATGTTCATAAGGGTTGTTTGTGTTATGATTCCGACTTACAGCGTATGCGTATTGCTTGCACTGTTGTTTTCTTTGAACATCTTATGTTCCATGAATCGAGTCCGTCATCCTCCATTTTCTTGTCTTACCTATCACTTCCCATTTTTGATAATTCTGATGATGAAGATGATCCTCCCCACGATCCGCCAGTTCCCCCTTTGCCCTATCTGCACTCCCCCAGCTCCACTTTCGCGATGTCTTCACCACCTGCCAGCTCCCCCAGCTCGCTTTCGATGGCCTCTTCTTCACCTGCCATCTCTTCCACGACCAAGCCATCTTCTCCAGCCGCGCAGCCCACTGTTCCTCCGAGTCGTCCACCACTACGTCGATCACTACGGGCCACTCAAGGTATCCCTCCACCTAAGTTTCATGACTATACTACTTATGGTGTCGATACCGTTGTTGTGCCTACTCGATACAAGCATGCCCAAGGTGATCCTGTGTGGGCTATGGCTATGAAGAGAGAGCTTGATGCACTCCATGCTAGTAATACTTGGACCCTTGTTCCTCGGCCTTCTTCTAAGTCCATTGTTGGCTGCCAGTGGGTTTATACAGTCAAGATGTTACCCGATGGTACTGTGGATCGATACAAAGCGCGATTAGTTGCTCAAGGATTTACTCAAGAGCTTGGGGTTGATTATAATGAGACATTTGCCCTGGTTGCAAAGATGTCCACCGTTCGTACTCTTTTAGCTGTTGCTGCTCAGCAGAATTGGCCTCTTTATTAGATGGACGTCAAAAAACGCCTTTCTTCATGTTGATCTGGATGAAGAGGTATATATGGAGCTTCCACCGGGATACACATTGGGCACTTCTGATCAAGTATGCTTCCTTAATCGTTCACTATATGGTCTCAAACAGGCCCCTCGTGCCTGGTTTGAGAAGTTCCACTCCACTATCGCTGCACTTGGTTTCAAACAGAGTCTCAATGATCCCTCTTTGTTTACTAAAACATCATCGGCTGGCATTGTTGTGCTACTTTTATATGTTGATGATATGGTCATCACTGGTACAGATCATGCAGGTATTCATAGTCTTAAGCAAGGTCTTCATGCTGCATTTAGTCTTAAAGACTTGGGTGATCTTTCCTATTTCCTCGGTTTGGAGGTATCTCGAAACTCTACTGGTCTTCTTCTCAGTCAACGTAAGTATATCTCTGATCTTTTGGCTGATCATCATTTCGAGGATTGCAAGCCAGTTTCTACACCCATGGAACTTAACCTACGCCTTGGACGTGATGCTGGTGATCCATTATCTGATGGTCGTTCTTACCGCAGCATTGTTGGGAGTCTTATTTATCTTGCTGCAACTCGTCCCGACATCTCCTATGCTGTACAGGTTGTTAGTCAGTTCATGGCTACTCCTTGTACTGACCATCTTGCCGCCGTCCATCGCATTCTACGGTATCTGCAAGGCACTCGAGAGGTTGGTCTTTTCTTTCCAGCTGGTGGTTCTGCTACACTTCGAGCTTATTCTGATTCTGATTTTGCTGGGTGTGTTGATACTCGCCGTTCCACTTCGGGCTGGTGTGTTCAGTATGGTCCTGCTTTCATATCCTGGCGCTGTAAAAAGCAGGACAAGGTTTCGAAATCATCCACTGAGGCGGAATATCGGCCCATGTCTGAAGTTACTTCTGAGATCGTTTGGCTCCGGCGTCTCCTCACTGATCTTGGTATACAGTGTCCCGAACCTATGCAGTTATTTGTGGATAATACGAGTGCTATTCGTATTGCGGTTAATCCGGTGCTCCATGATCGCACCAAGCACATTGAGATTCATGTGCACTATGTTCGTGATCTTGTTCGTGATGGTACTCTGACTCTTCATTACCTACCCACTTCCAAACAGCCTGCTGATCTGCTCACCAAGTCTTTCTCCTCCAGTCGTCATTGGTACCTGTCAAGCAAATTGATGCTTTGCGACCCGCATCAATTTGGGGGAGGCTGTTAAACGGTGTAGTTTTCGTCTTTCATTGTACATAGCCCACGATCCACACGAGCCCACTCTCTCTCATTTATTTCGGCCCATGCAACCCATGCATCGTCCCCATTTTCCTGATGCTAGGGTTCGGCCGACTCTTCTCCTTTGTGAGATATGTATATATGTTGAACTTGGTTTCTTTCTTCCTCCTTAAGCCGATACATCTAATAATACCAGTAGCCTGGAGAGCGTTCCAAAGCTCTCCCGTGGATTAGTCCTGATCATCAGGGATACCACGTAAACCGTCTGTGTTCATTGTTTCAGTTCAGTTCAATTCCTGTTTAATTCCCGATCAGTTTGTTAACAAAAACCCATTACCTTTTGGGCGGAATTGCCACAACATGGGCATTCTTCTTAGCAAGAATTATTGCAGTAGGATAATTAGCAGGCGAACGACAAGTGATGTAGGCTTAGAACGAACGACAAGAAGGAGATTATACACTATTGGTCTGATTCTTGATTTTAAAATATTTTTCACCATTGAACTGCAGCTCTCATGAGTTTGGTGCGATCCGAATCCATACAGAAACCCAGAAGGCTAGTGCTGCAAATGATATGATCCAATTCAACCTTTTGTCATTAATTAATTAAATGATATATATGCTTACACAATTTTGTTGTTTGCTCACACGCCATCTTTGAGAATATGCTTACATCGTCTTGTGCCGGTTGGATATCCGCCACATGACGTGGGACGTTGTGAGCACTTACCCGAGTGACGCTTGATGTTGTATATAAGAATTATAGTCGTATTGTTGTTGTTTTTTTTTCCCGGAAAGTCAATTGTTATAAAATCATACATACAGAGAAAATAAAATGAGCGCGGTAGTCGACCAATAGTCGAACTATCGATGAGAGGGCTTTTTATGCCATATGATGGGCAACCCTATTGAGATAGCGGAGAACAAAACAACAAGAAACCCAACTACAGAGAGAAGCCGAGCTCTGAGCATCCTGCAAGATAGTTCCATCCTGATCATGAGCCAAGTCACCTGTCTGAAGAAGTCTCTCCGATAACGGGAGCTCTTCTGCGTGCCCCTACACAAAAAAAAAAGCAAACAAAACACACAAGCGTCCCCACTGTAGGACAACTAAGCTCCACCAAATGGACTTAAACAAGCCATTAAGGCTTAGTCGGATAAACCGAATCCAAAACTATGTCAAATTAATTTTTTTTAAGAATGGTTAAAGAAAAGCAAAAAATAAAACGGACGAAATTGACAAATAAAATGAATAAAAGGGAGGGTAAGTATCAAAAGAAAACAAATAAAAAATACTAATAAATAATGAAGGAAATGTATAGCGGTTAATTAAAAAGATAAAGGAAATAAAAAATGACTAAATTGCAATAATGTAAAAAAAGGAAACTGAGGAGTCTGTTTGAGTTACTTACCTGGAGTAGTTACGCCATTCCAAAAGGCGTGAAATTTTAATTAATTAAAAAACACAGTTATCAATTACTTGCAGCAGATCTCACCAGAACCGTCCGTTCAGTTACCCTAGGTAACCGCCGTCTGTCTTCTCTTCCATGCGCCGATGTAACCCTAGACTCCGACGACTTTGTTCCCAAATCAAAATCTAAACACCATAAACTAACACAATTTATCAAAACTATAAATTATCAACAAGTCAACTCACTATCAAAACTATAAATTATCAACAAGTCAACTCACATAAGA